ATTATAGTTACAATTTTTAACATAGAGTTATGCAACGCTGTCTAAAGAAATGTACTGTCATGGGTTGCAAGAACAATTAGCCATTAGTGGATATTGAAAGCTATAGTTTCTACTTTTCACAGGAAAAAAAGCTATGAAAATTACCATTTATTAGTATGTCTGCAATTAAAAGAAATGCAACAATAGTGTTAATAGCAGTGGATGGATGAGCTGAACTTATGTGTATTTTAATGCTGTACACAAAATAAATTCATACAGATAAGAACATTTTTATCATGAAGGTTTGCTGTTTGGGAAGGTGACTTTAGACCTATTCTGCATGCATTCTCTGTCTCTCTGTACCAACAAATGAAGAAAGAGTTTGGTTGCAGGGATTTTTTGTTTGTTTGTTTTTTAAAAAATAATTGACTGGGAAATGTTTAAATTAAAAAGATTGGATAATTGCAAGAGTGTCACTTCCAGATCTTTGAATTTGTATTTATAGTAAATAATTGAAATCAAAACCTGTATGGAAACATTAGAATTGGCAAAAGCAGAGTTTTTTTTTTCTCTTGAAATCTAGAGTAGATCTTATTTACATCTGATTATTTAACAGTCTTTTGGGTGAGGCCTACGGGTTTGAAATTGCACTTCTATGAATTTAAGCATCCCATCTTTGGCACCTTGTATCCTGTTCCCTTTTCTTTGCTGTTTTTTAACTTACTGGAACAGATGAGGGGATCTTAAACCATCTGTTAACCTTTTTTCCCCATTTTTTTTCAACATGTAGAGTCGCTCAAGGCAAGAAGACCCAGAGCAAGCTAGACTGAAACAAAAAGCAAAGGAGGTAAGCAGAGTTAGAGATCATTACACTTGACATTTCAAGGCTTGAACATATTAATTTTTTATGCCTTGCTACTTGTATATCGTTAATAAAAATCTGACTAAAAACTTTTTAGGATGTATTTGTTGCTTTGCCTTTGATCTTAATGTTTGCAAACTAATACATTAATACATGTGAAGCCTAAGGAGATTTTTATAAGAGAATATTTCCATACATTACATTTTGATTTCCATTTTAGGTAGCTGTAGCTTTTGTTGGTTGTTGATGTCAATGACATTAGATTTTGGTGGAAAATACATGCCTTTGTCTTTTTGTAAAATGTCACTGTCTTAGAATTGTGTTACTTTAGTTAACAATTTTGATTTGGTAATAGTCTTAATAGTATTGCTATTTTTTTTCTCCACAGTGTCGTTCAGTGTGCTATTTATTCAGCTTAAGTTACAATAATCTTAAAATTACCAAATAATTTCAGCTAAAGTTTTGCTATGTCAATCTAGGGGTAGCATTTTGTGAACTACTCAGTAGCCTAATTTGCTGTAAATGAGAGTGGCTGTACTTTGCTTAAGGCATTTTATGGCTTAAGATCAGGTGGTATCTTAAGTTAGAAAGACCTAAAAATTGCATCAGTGGAAAGCCATTCCTACTTTTAAAAAAAAAACACAGTAGCATCATCTTTGGGAAATAGAAATAATGCATTAGAAGATAATATATATGGAAAATGCATATAATGAGTACTTTTCTATTGACCTGTTTTTCTGGTTTTGTTTTGCTATTGGCAATATTTTATTGCTCCGTTAGCTATACAGATTTTATATATATTACAGACAAAAAAAAATTACATAGATGAGTTTTGTCTTTCCTGATTAAGCAGTAAGATTTGTCAAAGTGAGTTCTTGTAAACTTTAGGCCATAATTGTTTCCAGAGCTGATATTAGGCAGAAATAGAGTAATCAAGTTACGTGACTGGAAAAGACACAGGATTTTAATACTACTAAAATTTAGTATGTGGACAGAATTAGATTTGAAAATATGTGAAAATGGTTGATACTTGAGAAGTGTAGCAAAACTTGCTGTTGAGCTGAGGACTAAAACTACTGTGCTGTTGTAAAGGAAAGCAATCTAGAAATAACTGTGGCACAAGGAAATGTATTATTTCTGTTAATTGTGATTCTTTTTGTTCCTTGGAAACTTGAGGATGAAAAAGTAAACAACAGGGCTAGTAAAAACACGTATTTTTGCCATCAGAATGAAATAGCGGTTGTCTTTATAGCTGTGACAGAATAGAAGACTTGCTCTCTAGCCAGTATTGTTGCCTTTCCAGTGTCTAACCTCTCTTGTGAAAATTCAGCGTGTCCGCTTAACTTGTATTCCTTATCCGCTAGAGGGAGTGATGCTTGCTGACTTGTGAGTAAAAGAAAGTGTATGACATGTTTTCTAAGTAGTAGTAATAGTGATATTAATAAAGAGTAGCAAATATTTTGGTGTTAATTAATTAAAAATGCTTAGATCAAGTTGTATGAGACTTAAAAGACGTGGTTTTCCTGGATATGATAACATGTCTGAGTAAATGCAGAGCGAATACCAGGATTTCTGTTGCAGAGTGCTGCACCCTATTCTTTTGTACATTAGCCCTGCCTGTTTTCCCACCCTTCTAATGAAAGTGTATAATTTGCTGGCTGCATGCCTCTCTCTGAAGTTGCATTTCATTCTACCTATATGAAATCATAGAAAATATATGCCTGTCTCTGGTTTTAGTAATTAGGGTTCTGAAACATTCTTCAGCTGATTTAGAGACTTTCACTTAAAATATTTAAGTGTATTTCATAAAAACATATTATTTCACATTAACTGCTAGAAAGAAGGAAGTGGAAATGGGACTGGCAAGATTTTAGTTTAATATTGTTCATATTTTTTTTTCCTGCATTGAATACAGAATGTATCTAATTCACTCACTACTGAAATTAAAAAATCACTAATTTTGTAGTACGAAAGATCTATTAGCCAGATGGCATTTGAGGTAGTTTTGTTACCTGAAACTAAACGTTTTGATCTAATTTGTACAAAAATGTACCAGTTTCAAAAATTTACTGCCAGCTAGACTACTCTTAAGTGTGTTTATGATCAATAATTGAAATAAAAGTTGAGTTTATTCCAGATTTTATGTAAATTGATGACTATGATACTGTTTTCATAATAAGCTGAATTTGAAGCTCTGTTTTGTGATGTCCTCAATGGCTGGCATATTGCTTGAAGACCCTTGTTGCTCATGTATTCTTCTGGCTAGCAGTGAGATGTCTATCAACTAATGTTTTAAAAATCATGAAGAGAACATCCAAGATGCTTGGAACATTTTCTAGCTTGTGTAACTGTGATTGTGATGTGATTGATGTGATTGCTAGACTGTTTGTTTTCCTAAAGAATTGCTCTGATCCCAGCCAGGTAAAGTGAGTGAATATCTAAAACAAAGCAAGCAACATATGAAGTCTAGGAAAGAGAATGGAGACCACAATGGGGTGGTCTGGTGTTTCTGGGTTTTGTCTTAATTTAAAACAAAATTTTTAGTTCTTTATTTTCACAGAGCTACTAACTGAAGGTGCCTTCTTTCCTCCTATCACTGTCATCAGGAAAATATGCGGGAAGGTCAGCATGTCCTTTGAACAGATTTAGAAATGAATTTGTTAAGGTGGTGTTATTTTTTGTTCCGTAGCTGTGCCTTACTCCATTTATTAGCCGGCCTTCAGGCCAGCTCGCATACTGTTTGAACCAAACCGGCATAAATCAAGTTTAAATTGCCATTAAATGCTTAACCAAAACAAACAGAAGGTCCATGTAGATATGGCCTTACTGTGGAGCCTAGATATAACAGTAAGGTTCCATTCACACACAGACTTGCCCTGTTTTAGTTAAGTCAGTGCAAGCCCACTCTTATTTCCATTCAGTTGCTTTATTTTGCTTTAGCCACAGTCCCTTTCAAAGGGTCCTGACTGAGGGCAATAGGGGGCTGCCTTTAGGGAGGTTGTATTGGTTAAAATTCTCCATTTACTTTCACACTGTTACTTAAACTTTTCAGCAGCTTTCCATGTAGGCTATAGAAGGTGATGTTTTTTGTCAGTATATATTGCATTATTGCTTTAATAGTAAATCTCTTTAATAGAAAAGTGGAAAATATTTTCAATTTTCAACTATTTTTCTATTTCAGGAAAAATGCTTCTCTTCACCAGTTACTTGTTATACTATTTAGCAACAAATTTGGCAACACTTGCCTTTCGGTGCAGCTTAATATAGGAAATAGCATCCTTCGTGAGTAGAGTGTACAGCATTTTGCCTGGTTAAACTTCTGAAAAGCATGTTTTAGAAAATACATTGTGATTTATGTAGTCTGTTGGAAAAATAGGAACTCACAAATATACATTAAAGAAAGTGTCCTCCAAATTACATAAAAAGAGTTCATTAAATAGAACATAAAACAGGCCATATAACTGATTGCAGGAATAACTCAAGTTTGGGAAGAATTGAGTCAATACCTAATAAAAGAAAGAGGAGGTTGGATCTTAAAAATACTTTCTATCATGGATATTCTTCTACATACTCAGTATCTGTTGGCTAACAGTCTTTTAATTTAAAAGTGAAGTAGCTGAGTTTGTTGATCCTAAAAGATTAACTTGGTTAAAATCTTGGTGTCATCACCAACCAGGAATATTGCATAATAATAAAAACTTAAACCAGACGCCATAAATGTCTGGGCGTGTATCCAGGGCCTAGATCAGTTTAGATAACGCCCAGTGGAACCTATTCTCCCATGCGAGTGAAATCTCCAACCTGTTGATGTTCATGATAGGGGACTCATTGAATATGAGCGAGGACAGCAGACAATTCCATTTGCATATCTTCATCAGTGCAGATAGCCCGTCTTTTAAAACTGTGATGCAGTTATTTAATAGAGATCTGTATTGAAGCTGGATGCTGTGGTGGCTGTTACACAGGCTGGTGGCTTGGGGAGCTTTTGGCAGCCCTCGCATAAACAGACCTTGGGCAGCTTCCTTCGATGCTCCCTGGTGTAGTTGTGTCTGCTGAAGTTATAGCAAAGCCTGCTCCACGATGTCCTCTGCTGCAGGAGCTTTAATGAACCTTATTCAACCGATTTCTAAATTCTGAAACATGGTCTGAGGGAGGGCACAAAAGCATCTAGGCCGTTAAGAGAGAGAGAGAGAAAAAGAGAGCATAGGATTCTTCTTTCTCCTTTCCTCCTCTCCCTTCTCCTTCTTTCATCCTCTCAAAAAAAAAAAGTATTTCATTGGATGTACGTTCTATACATCTTTAACAGTGCCTTAAAATTTTGAAATTCTGCATTTAAAAAGTAATATTTCTTATCAGGAATACTGAAAATCCATGTCCACACCATATGTTTAAAAATTAGATTATAAAAAAATTTACACTAACTTTTTGGCACCGTGTTTGTAATTATTTAGCAACTCAGTAGGAGTGGTTCCTCTAAACTATTTAAATAATAGTGTGTAGCAGTTATCCATGTTTTCATAAGGCATAACTGAAAATGAAAAACAAAGGAAAATGTTTCTGTTTTGTTTGCTAAGCTCATTTATTCATTTTTTAAGCTGAACCAAAGTGCTCAAAGACTGTTAGTAATGCAGAATCTTTCTTAATGAGAAATCTAAAATAAGTTTTCTGTTTTATCATGCCTGGCATAAAAATATTGATTCAAAAACAATCTTTTAAGAAGATTATTATAAAACACTGCATTGAGAAGTGGAACTTCTGGATAGAAAATAAGTTTAAATTAATTTCCATTTAACTCTCTAACCCATCTAAAGGTCAGTATGTGGAAAGAAGGAGAAGCTAAGGAATGTAACACCTGAAATAAAGATACTTGAACACTTTAGGCAATTAGGGATGTATCAGAACTGGAATTTTAAGTTACTCTTTTTCTGCATCAGGCTGCTAGCACTACAACTGTCTTGCAGAATGTTTTGTGAACACATGTGAAAGTCTAGATAACAGAGGCAGAACCCTGTTCA